TACCTGCGTGCCCCGCGGCGAGCGCGGTCCCGTCTCTCCTTGCCCTTGGCACAGCCGTTGGTGGTGGTGCCCGAGGTGCCCCTGGCCGTGCGGGCACTCAGCTGGTCGGGATGCCCGTCCTCGGCAGGGCATGGCAGGCGGCTGGGTGGCCCGCTGCAGGGCAGAGCAGAGCCAGAGGGTCAGGGCTCCCGTCTCCCAGGGAAGCCCCTTCCCTGCTGCACCCAGGAGCTATGGCTGGAAAGGACCACTGGGATCATCATGTCCAACCTCCATCCCAACGTTTCCCCCCTCTGGGGTCATCATATCCAACCTCCATCCCAGCATTTCCCCCCTCTGGGATCATCATGTCCAACCTCCATCCCAACATTTCCCCCCTCTGGGGTCATCATGTCCAACCTCCATCCCAGCATTTCCCCATCCATAGCCTTGAGTGCTACATCTATTTGTTTTCTGAAGCCCTCCAGGAATGGGGACTCCACCACCTCCCTGGGCAGCCTGTTCCAGTGTTTAACCACTCTCTCAGTGAAGGGCAAGAGCTGCAGGTTGCTCCCAGGCATCCTGTGGTGCTTAGTCCTGCAGTGGGAGATGCTCCTGCCAGGCTCTGGAAAGCCCCCAGCTCCAAGCCAAGCTGTGCCCCAGCATGACCATGCTGTGCTCAGCTTCCAGGCAGAGACACCAGGAGCCACTGGACAACCCCATACATGGTCTGTACCCAATGCAACAGCAAGGGGCAATGGCAGTCAATCACACCAGCACTCCTGGACATCTTCCTCTGCACTGTGGGATTTAGCTCACCAGAAACAACACTGGCCTTACACTTTGGCAGAAAAATCCCTTTTGCATTTCAAACCCCATCCTCCAAACCTGCTATTGCAGTGCCAGTACCTTGCCACATATCCTCATCCTGTCCCCCTTGCTAGCACCCAGGTAGAACCAAACTTCTGGCAGCCAGGAAGCAGCTCTCTTCCTTGCTCCTACAAATAAGGTACTGTCCCAGTAAACACACTTGGTCCTACTGAAAGCCCAAACTGGAGAAGCTGGGACAGCCCAGCAGAGTTAAGGGGAATCAGCTGGGCCAGACAGGTGCCTACAACAGCCCTGGGGATGTTGTGAGAGTTGTTGAGGAGCAAAGCCAGAAAAAGCCTGGGTTGAGAGGGCTCCAAGAAACACCCAGGGCTTGGGCAGGACAAGCTGAAATGGAGAAGTCAAATGGAGAAAGCAAACCCAAATGAGCTTGAGCTCAGACACTTGGAAAGCAAATCAGTTTCCAGGGCCTGCAGGTGTTTATTTCATAGAAGGATGAATGGAAAGCCATAAACCATACCCAGCAGGGATGCCAGGAGCACTGGGGGTTTGGTGTCCTCCAGAGTATTATCTGAACAAATCAAGCAAGCATTGACATGTCCAAGCTGAAGCTGGCTGTGGGGAGGTACCGATGGCTCAGCTGGCAGTGAAAGTATCTTCCTGTTGTCGTTTTGAAGCCAATCTCTGGGACACCTTGGGGGTTATATGGGGCCAAGAGAGTGGCTAAAGAACAATGTGATGCCAAAATGGTATGCTACTCAGCCCAGAGCAGAGGGAGCATCCTGCCACCTGCCCCAGTCATGAGCAACACTTTTTGGGGCTGGAGTTGGCACAGAAGGACCTGCAGAAAAAACGGCCACCCCTCTCTTTCTGTGTGTCTTCCATCTCTCAACAAAAATCCCACTTTCTCTAATAGCTGACTCCTTCCTGGAGCCTATTTTGTAATGCCTGAACGTTTAAGGACACGCATCAGCCAAATAAAGAGACAGAGGTCAGTGGTGGGAAGTTGGTGGAGTATTTCTGGCCCCAGACAAGCAGGAGGTGATGGTCCCTCTGCCTTGAAAAATCTATTACTCTGCTCGTAATAAATCCCCCAGTCGCTTCCTAACATCTATGTTATTTCTACCCATCCGAGCAGCTACACGGTTAATTGCTTTCTTTGTGCGAGCTAATTAGCTCATGGCCTTTCCCAAACCCCTTTTAAGAACACTCTTCTGAGGCTCAATCATTAGGATCCATTAAAAATGTCCCCAGATTAATGGCCTGTGCAAAGTCCGGGCTGGATCAGCTCCAGCAGCAGAGGCAGGAGGGTTCCCCCTGGGCTGGTGGCATGCTGGGGCACTGCTGCCTTGCAGGAGGGACCTGGGCACGGTGGGCATGTCCCCCCCACCCCCAGCTCCCACTAGTGGGACTTTCAGGACCTGGGGTCAAAACATATTGGCCTTGAGGCAGCCAGGGACTCCTGTCCTGCAACACGCTGGGAAGTGTTTCTTCTGGGCTTGGAAGTAATTATTGATGGAAATAATTATTCTCCAATTCCATCAAAGGTTGGCTTCAATTCAACCAAATGTTCTCTTCTGATGAATGCTGGGAGTCTCTAACTCTCTGAACTGGCTGGTAATCCCCTTGTGCTCAGCTCCACAGACATCGATTGAATCTATAGATGTACCAAATGTTAAGCAGGCAGGAGGAAGAGGAGGCAGGAAGGGTGCTTGGGGTTTGCTCACCGAGGGGCAGCGCTGCTCTGGGGGCAGAGTGAGGGCTGCAGCCTCTGGGCCCAACCTCTGTGCCCAAGGTGGGGTTCCTGTTTGTCCCTAAGGACGTGTGCCTGGGCACGGGGCCAGCACAAGGCAGCTGGCACCCGTCCTGCCTGCCCACCACACTTCTGAATTAGACAATTCACCTGCTTGCACTCGGCCTCTCCTCTCCCTCTTTCTCTCTGGAAGGGAAGCAGCAGACTCACAAGGCTCTCGCCTCTCCCACCAGCCCGAGCCTTTCACCACTTTGCACCACCCAGCCAGCCCATCTCTGTATTTCAGTGTTAGATTTGGGCTCTCCCGTGTTTTCCTTCCCTGGCAGAATGTGCCGACAGCAGAGGGAAACAATCTACTGCTACCCTCATAGAAATGATAGAGCAAAGCTCACTGGTAGGAAGGAACCCAAATATTCCTGATTTGAAGGGGGGTGGAACCATGGTAAAACACTGGGAGCATCTGGAGGAGAACAGGGCGAGTGACTGCAGCCTAGCTGTGAGGTTTGGGGCTGGGGTGAGGCTGTTTATTTTTGCAAACTGCCTGAACCACTTCCCAGCAGCCTTTCCCAAAGGAAATTTCCTTTAAAATTTCTGAATCCCAGTGGGCTGTGCCACCCAGTGCCTCGCAGAGCCCCACTGCCTGATGCCATCCCAATCTGCTTCCCTTCCCGGGGGGCTGCTGTGTCCTCCCCAGTTTGAGGTGGCACCGTGGAGGCCAGTTAACCATGCTGAAGGCCCCGTGCTCAGCAATGACTCCCTCTGGGATTGGACATCACCAGTTTCTGGGGAAAGGGAGGAAGTCACTGGCAGGCTTGCCAGGAGGCTCTTGCAGTACGTGTGGCACTGGAGCCCTTCTCTGCAGAGCCCAAGGGAAGTACAAGGCTGGAAAGATCCCACAGGGTATCTGCAAGTCCTAGGAGATGTGCTGGGCTCAGCAAAGACCCCTCCTTGAAGCACTGAAGACATATTGTGGCTTCCACAGCCATTGGTGTGCCCCACAGGTGAGTCCTGGGGGTGACACCAGCCCAGCCGCAGGGAAACGTTCCCCGTGGGACTGCACAGCCCTTCCTGCCCACAGAGGGACCCTGGCACCCTTCACAGAGGCTGGGGCAAAGGCCCAAGGTCTATGCTGCCTCAGGGAGCAGAGCTAGCTCACAAACCACCCCCGTTCCTCCACCCTGGGCCACTGAGGTTGGTGCCACAGCCAAACGCCGCCTCGTTGGGCCATGGCACGTGGCACTGGGTGACACGTGCTTCAGGGGGGAGCTGAGCCCAGTGGCACCCATGCCCCCCGGCCCCGCAGGGACGTGCACTTGGCAGGGGTTTGGAGGGCACTTGGCACCGTTGGGTGCTGGCACCTCGGGGCAGCGGGGCCGGGCAGCTGCCCTCCCCTGCCCGTGGGCGTCTGTGTCCCAGCCCAGCTCCTCTGCCCTGGCCTCCCAGCGCTCTCCTGCCACAGAGCTCTCATCAGTCATCCCTTTGCCCTGCAGAAACTCAGCTCCTCTGCTCAGGAGGAGAGAAAAGCAGGAAAATTGCCTTGCTAGTGACCTTTCAGCTGCCATCGCCAAGGCCACCTCCAGCACAGCAGGATGGGCTCCAGCAGTCCCAGCCCTTGGTGGCCTTGCCACAGCCCCTCTGCCCTTTTCAGCTGCTTTGCAAGCAGCAGTGTAAGCACACCAGGGCTGGATGGTGCCAGCCAAGCCTTTGGGGCTGTTTTATCATTTATTTCACTTTGCACACACAGCTGGGCTGGGTGCTTGGTGCACCCGGCCGCATACACAAGCACTTTGGAGGCCCCGAGCTCTTGGCAGACCTGCACCGACAGCATTATAAGCTCAGGATAAAGGATTTGGGAAAGCCAATCCAGAAACTTTACTACCTTGCCCTTTTCAGTCTTGGCTGGCTCTGTGTTCCTGTCATCTCAGCAGCCCCTGGTGAAAGGCAGGAGCAATTCCAGCCAAGTGGAGCCCCAGAAACGAGAAAGGTTAAAGCATCTCTGATGAGCCTGTCGGTTGTGAATGTTTTGCTGGCATTAAACTGAGGATGGAGGGATGGATGGATGGATGGATGGATACTTTGCATGGAGACTGGGAACAGGAGCCCATGAAAGGATGCAGGCATCTGACGGGAAGCAGGAGAAACTCCGGGGATGCTCTGGCTGCCTCTCCTAAGGATTTTGCAAAAAGCACCAGACACATGATTGAATATCTCCTCAATCCTCTGCTCTCCTCACCTGCTGAGCAGGAGCAGGCAGATGGCAGGTTGGGGTCCCTCATCCACCCAGTGAGGGTGGGCTGAGCTGCTCACAGCTCTTCTAAAACCTACCACTTTGGGCTGAGGAGCCTCTCGGTGCTGCCAAAATGACTGCTTTATTTCTCTTGCTCTCTGGCCTTGCTCATCTGATTGAAAAGGAGAATGGTCAAACAGTTGCTTTGTCCCGGGAGAGGGAGGGGGCAAAAAACAAGGTCGGAAAAACATTTCTGAGCAAAAACTCCAGCGGATATGTTTACATACAGCTCTTTGAAACAGGCACTAAAAATACCTCTGCAAAATTAGGAGACGGGGAAAATTGCAAGTGCTTCCCACCAGCACACAC